TTGAACCGCCAGCCTTCTGGTTAGCAGTCAAGTGCCTTAGGCACTATGCTACCAGAGCTCCTAGCTCTGCCACAATATCCCTCTTTTAACCTATTTGGGCTTAAGTTTTCTCATCTGTAAAATGAGGGTAAGAAGGAGATTGGCTACAGTTTCTGAGGTCTCTTCCAGCTTTGAAAAGTTAAGACTCACCCCTTAAATGGAGTCTACCTGCCTTTTCTTGTCGTTGTTGTTGTTGTTATGTGCCGTTGAGTCGGACCCGACTCATAGCGACTCCTCCTTGGGTTTCTGAGGCAGTATCACTATTGAAGTAGATTGTCCCATCTTCCCTCTGTTTCTTGTCTTTAGAACATGGCACAAAATCTTTAAAGGAAGCTTCTTCAGGTTTCTGTATCTTTTCTTTGGTTTCAGAATATACTTCTATTTCACCTTGTGTTAAAAAGCACTTTTTAGTGTACTAGATCTTGCCAAGAAACAGGAAATAAATGATTGACTTGGTGGAATGATATTAACTCATTTAGGCCTCTTTGTTTTATTCAGTATAGTTACTAGCTCATAAGACCTCTAGGAGTCTGCTCCACCAGAGACTAACAGTCTCTAGCCAGGATCTGTTTCGGGGGAGAGTGATTTTTCCTGAGACCCCTTAGGGAGGAGATACCTGAGGAGCCAATTGCCTGTTGAAGGCACATATCTGAAACATTGTCCTTGTTGAGCTAAATTTACTCAATGTTTCAAACAATGAGAAGTGAGGAGTGGCCCTTTAGCAAGATGTAATAACACAATAATGTAACAAAACTGGTCAACAGCAACTCATTTATTATGGGTCTAAATGCTTATTACTGTTTGTAAAGGATGAATTTGTAACCTCTGTGCAGTTATAGTTCATACACAGTTGATTTCAATTTACATAGGCAGAAAGTCCTTGTTTAATCTAAATGTCAAGCTTTGACTTAACAAAACTCCTGTTTTCTTCTAGGTTGTGGGGTGTGTGTGTGTGTGTTTAAGAGAATGGTTGGCCATTAAAGAAAGGAAATAAAATTTGAAATGGGGAAGAAGGGAAAACACATTTCAGAAATTCTAAACAAATGATCAAACAAACAGTTGGCGGCAGGTGTCATGGAAGGTCTTAGTAGAGATTGACCTACACCATATACTTCTTTGAGTGCTTCCTTCAGTAGAAGGGATTAAAAAGACTGTTCCCCAGCCCAGCCTCCAACAGAGGGAATTTGAATCTGGAAATTCTTAAACTAATACTGTTGTAATTTCATGCTGCAAAGCAACACTTTCCTTATGCAACTGATTTTTTTTTTTTTTCTTTCTTAAAACGACCTACCTAGGAGTTTCCAGAGTACTTATAAGCAAATAAAATTAATCAGAAGCCCCCATAGCCTCCAGTTAAAAGCAAGAAAGCAATTCACTTTATGACAAAAGAATTTCCGGCTGTTTGGAAGATTTGTATGGAAAGGGCACATAATTCCTAACTGGAAGTTTTACTTCTCCAAGGCCAACATCTCGGTTCTAAAGACTCTGGGCGGCAGGGGAGAAACTGATGCAGAGCTTGACACCCACATCCTTAGCCGTCAGAAAGGCCTCTGGGACAATGAGTACAGAAGATAGGGAGAGGCAATATTTTAGTACCAGTTGTACCTGAAGAAGAGACCCTGAGAGGCACAAGCAGTTAAGTACTTGAGTGCGAACTGAAAAGTTGATGGTTCCAGTTCACCCAGAGGTCCCATTGAAAGATCACAGCTGTTGAAAACCCTACTGAGCACAGTTCTATTCTGATACACACAGGGTCATTGTGAACCAGAACCAATTCAAGGAGAACTTTTTTTTTTTTTAAAAAAAAACAGCCCTGCAAAATGTCATTAAAATGGAATGGGAGCCCACATGGGGTAAGCCAAGAAGCACTTTTATTTGAAGCAAGTGGAAACCTTGAGACACTTTTCTTGACCTTTGGAGAGTTCTAAATATTTGCTTTTTCTTGCCCAGTGGCAGCTCCTTCTTTCAGACCAGGTTATGATTGGGGAGACCGAAAGGCATGGGAGAAGGGGTGAAGTTGAAGGAGGGACAGGGCATGTGCTGGAAGAGGGAGGGAACAGGTCCTGCCACACTCCTCCACCCAGGCAATTTGGATGAAAACAGGAATACCACTGTCTTAAACACATTTCTAATTACCATGGTCATGTAATATGGCAAAAATTAGGCCACTCATCAACTGAAGTATTTCTAAGGTGAATCTTTGGCAAAAATGTGGACCTGCAACAATTCAGATGACATTTTCTTTCAATCAGGTTAAAAAATTATGATGCTGTATGGATATGTCCATGAGGTTTAGAGTTTTCTTTTGTCATCTTATAATAGTCATGCATTCAGAGGTACATGTTGGTTCTAACAGCTTTGGTAGAAACATTGTGGAAATAGAAGTGACTATAAAACATCATGTCTTTAGTCTAATTTGGTATAAATTTATAAGGCCTGAGTAAATTGGAAATTAGCAAATTTCTTGAAGTAGTACAGATGAATGTAAGACACATGGCTAGAGTAGCAGATTCAGAAAAAAGTGGTTAGTATTGTATTCCAATGTTCTATAAAAGGCATCAAGTAAGGCCACAAATACAAAAATTGTGTTCCTCTTTCGGTTTTCCTGCGATGATCTCCTGTCAGCATCATGCTCATAGGAGGAGGACATGTAAAAAAGAAAGATGACTTCTGACTTTTGTTTCCAACGCGAAGCTGAAATCCAGGCTCAGCAGTCTCCCAGATGTGCAGAGTGGCTGCTGCTGGCTGGCAGGGGTTCGTGGCAGTTGGCTGACTTGCATGCGGTGCTTGGGAGGGCTCCCAGAGTGAAGGAGCAGTCTCTGGGTGAAGTGAATGTCTTTCTGGCCATGCCCTCCTTTTGAGTTGAGCTTGGATTCAATATTGGCTGCTATTCTTACCCTGCCATGCAGTGCAGTGGGTCTCAGCAACCTCAGACAACTGAGCAGCAGCTGTGACACCCGGAACAGTGTTTCTTCTTTTTCTTGGGGTGGAAAATGGTGAGGATTGCTTCATCAAACACCGCTTTGAGACCTTTCTGAGTCAGGGCTGAGCATTCCAAGTAGCACTGTGCTCCGATCTTAAACATAAAAGAGAAAAAGGCATGAGATGCTGCTGCTCAATAAGGACAGAAAAGCACGGAGGTGGCAGCCCCTTGCCCAGTCAAGTACCACACTCTGTCCTACAAATGGCTCTGGGGATGGTTTAGTATTTATTTTTTTTCCTTTGCATTTAAATTTCAATTTGTTCTTTTTTTTTATTTTTAAAATTACTTTTAATTTTTCTAAGGAGCTCTGGTGGCATAGTGCCTAAGGCATTTGACTGCTAACCAGAAGGCTGGTGGTTCAAACCCACCAGCCTCTCCTTGGAAGGAAGACTGGGCAACCTACAGCCATAGAGATACCACCTCGGAAACCCAAGGAGGGGTCGCTATGAGTTGGAACTCAATGGCAGTGAGTTTTTTTTTAATTTTTATATTCTTATATTAGCAAGGGAATCCTTGGGTGGTGCAAAGAGGTAATGCCCTTGGAGGCTAACTGACAGCTGGAGGTTTGAATCCGCCTAAAAATCCCTGGGAAGAAAGGCCTGGTGATCTCCTTCCAGAAAGTCAGCCATTGAAAATCTTATGGAACCCAGTCCTATGGCAACCTCATGTGTGCTACGTGTGTTGGAGTTGACTCTATGGCAACTGGTTTTTTATACTAGCAATGAATGGTTGTGGATCACTTTTGGTAAGCAACAGATTCCAAAAGTGATCTACAACCATTAATTCTTAATATAAGAACATAAAAGTACACAAATACATAAAATTCAGAGGGCAGATTTAAATGTATTTTATGAATGGTAGGGCTACATGATGTTGTTTTAATATCCTCTCATTTGTATGAAGACTCTGTAAATCACATAAAAGTGAAATGTATTTAATTCTGTATGTGGTAAGTCCAACTGGTTGACAAAGCACAAAGAAAGCAGGTGGTACGTATTTGTACTCCATGCTTGATTGAAATGTGCTTCTGATAAGGTATCTCTCAGCAAGATAATGTCTGCTTGGCATTATTACTGAGTTTTAACATGAATTTAAATGACCTAATTTAAAAAAGGTTTTTTAAAAAATCAAAACACATAAAAATAAAAACCGTAACACTTACTGACAGACATCATTTTTGTCAGTACTGAGTTTGTATTTAAAAACATAGTTTGTGCTTGGTTAGGCCTTATTTTAAATCTTTGGCTGATTTCATACTATGGTGTATTTGATCACAAAATTCCCAAGTGAAATACAAAAATTCAGGGTAGAACTATAGATTCTTAAAACAACAAGAACAACACAAAAAATAAAAAGGAGGCCAGAGCAGACCGTGTTTGGCAAGCAGTTTCATGTGAAAGAGTCTTAGTGGTGTTAGTTGTACAAGCTTAGTATGAGCCAGCAGTATGATGAAGGTATTCTAACGTTCAGGACATTTGGACAAATGCTTTTACTTTATGCTTCATTTTATAAGGATAATTTTGAAAATTAAAGCAGATCTAGTAGAGGGTGGCTGTATGTTGAGTAGCTAAAGCAGGATAGCAAACTCATATTACTGTTAGGGCCAGTAGTTACTATAGAGGAAAGCAGAGCTAGTGAAAGGCAATAGGGAGAGGTGGGGATTGTGGTAGACTGTGAAGTATATGACTCCCTCTACAGTGGGCAGTCTTAACTCAGCTTTAGACAATTGTTTCCCATCTTTGTATTTTTCAGGAGCTGGAAAGTAGATTTTTATTTAATATTTACCAATTAAAAAAAAACAAAACAAAACAAAAAACCCTTTCTGGACCAAACAAAACATTTATGTGGATGTATTTGGCAGCAGCCAGCATGCAATGTCTGGACTAATGGAACTAGTAGTTTCACTTAAGAGTTGGAACAGATCCAGAAGGTAAAGTGAATTGTTTAAGGGCACCCAACTAGAAACAGAAAAACCTAGACCTAAAATTTAGATCTCTTGATGTGTGTTTTTTCCCCTTGTTCCATGACAGTAACTGTGATCCTTATTGTTCAACTCTGTAAGAAGCCAGTCAAGTTGCAATTAGCAAAATGAAGTTGTCCATCCATTTAGAAGGCCACAGATGTGAAAACAAACCACAGTATGATGTTCTGTTGCTCAAGGGTTTTGTTGGACACCGTAAGATATGCTAATTGGGCCAGAAAAAAATATTTCCTAATTTTCCCAAATGATATGTACTTTTCTTTTTCTCTTCCTGTAGAGAATTATGAGCCAAAAGAAAATATGAAAAGAAAGGATGCTGGATGTTGAAAACCCATTTTATGGCTTTCATTTTGACTATGGTCTGGCCTTTGAAGGAAATAACTTTTTAATTATTAAACAAAACCAAAGCAGATGGATAAAGAGAGGGATAAAGGGCAGAGAAAATTTTCCTAATAATGTCATGAAATCTTATCTGTTGCATTTTGGGATTGTGTCCAATGCTTGATATGAACACATGAATCTATGAATGTGTCAGCTGAATTGGCATGTGAAAGTTCTCATCAGCCATCTGCAAGAAGTGCTGTACATCAGGGGCTGTGCTGTCTGGAATACCTCCCATCAATGATCACAGGCCTCAGGTTGTTAAATCTGCAAATTACAGGTGAGCTGTTCTGAGCTCGGTTCACACGTGGGGCTCTGGGACCTCTGCTCTTGGCCATAAGGAGGCTCTTTCCTCCTCTCCAGAGTGCTGCTGACAGTCTGTCAGAGTTCGCCTTTTGATGGTGCAGGAAAGCCCACGCTTGTCTTTCCAGTTCAAACATTTCAGGAGATAATGAAACAGTTGATAAAGGTATTATTGTGACTGGTTAACATAATATATTGTACTGAAAGTTCCAGGAAAATTAGCAAACAGATTTTGGGTGTAATTTGGGAAATAGGTTTGAGAAATATAACTGAGTTAAGAGTTGGGTATTCTTAATGACTTATCAAGTACTCTGGGGTTGAGAGAATTCATTCCAGCTCAGGGAAATCATCATAAAAATGTGAAATGGAAAAATTTCCCAAGGAAATATAGCTTTTCTTACAGCAGCAACCTCATCTGCCTCTTGGAGCTAAGTGACCTACACAGCCAAATATTTAGAACTAATTTATAAGCACTTAGGATTCGAGGGTCCTTGCTGACATCCACATGTTAGTAATCTGGAATATGTTTACCAAAATGACGTGTTTTCAAGAAATAATGAGATTGAGGAAAGTAAACTGAGAGGACATTTTTTTTTTTTCCTGATAATTTTATAACAGTAGCTAAAATGTCTCAAAAACTGGGATATTTATCAGAAGATACAAGATTCCAAAAGAAGAAATTAAACTCCCCTCCCCCTAAAAGCCCACGATGATTTATCACGTGGAATAAACCTAACACTTCTTCCAGGTTGTTCTGGACATGTACCTGGAAGCAGTAAAGGCAAAGAAGCCTTCCAGCTGCAGATATGTCTAAGGTGGCACATGGCCATCACAACAAATCCAGTTGGGTTTGCTGAGCTAGATCTCATGCTATGTTAGCTCATTTCATCTTCACAAGAACCTTAGCAGATGCATCTGTGACCATCCTCATTCTGCAGCTCAGGAAACTGATGCCCAGAGAGGGTAAAGTAAGCTCCCTAAGATCAGGCAGAGATGAGCCTTGAATTGATCTCCTGATGCAGTCTTAACTGCTTTGCAGCACTGTCTATAGAATATGAAGGGATTGTGGCTGAAGGAGAAAAAAATTAACAAATGGGAGCAGTTGTTATGGATGGACATAGCAAAGGTGATGAGTGAAGAAGGGAAGAAAAAGGTGTTTTCTACATATGAAGAGAAGATGTTAGTGGAATAAACAGAGTAAGCTTGTACCTAAAGAAATAGTATCAGAAGTTCTTTGTTCCTTATTGAAGAGTTAGAATACTTACAAAGAAGGTGACTAGAGAGCCAAGGAAATGAGAAGGAATCAAATGGCTGTGAGAGAGTCTATGCCACCAAATCAACATTATTGTCCAATCGCTGAAAGAAGGAAAGTGTTTCTAGGGCAGATGGCTTTGCTGCTGGCTTTTGTTTGTTTTTAAGACATTTTGAAGCAGGGATTGCCAACTGAAGAGTGGATAATATAAATGCACTGTTGTGTGAAGGACAATAGAGAGTGGTGGGGACTGTGGCAAACTGAAGAACACATACTCTGTCTAAAAA